ATACATTTTCCACAGGATCAGCCACTTCCTTGAGCTACCGTTTGTGGCCAGGTGGGCCTTACCTGGTCAAATAACAAAAAAAGTAGGCTCAGTTTGCTTAAACCCCTTTACAACACGCGTTTGTTCTTGGGAAATGTAGAATTAGCAGCTCGGAAGCTTGAGACGACGGGGCGGCTGCCACGGCAAAACGCGTCATGCACGTTACACCAAGTTTTGGCCAGTAACCCTTTGAATCGTCTGACCGGTCTTCGATAGGCTTAGTCCCTGATCGCAGCACAATCTTGCAAATAATAGTTTGGTTCATATTGGATCACGTATCTTTACGAGTTAATACTCTTCCCCCACCCCCCCCCCCCCCAGTTACCTACGGGGTGGTTAGGGTGGGGGTTTGAGTAATGATTGTAACCTTGGTTATAAAGCATCTACAGCGTGCGTCGAGTTGAATGACCAACAGAGGAAGGAGCCCTCGTGTGAGTGACCGAAAGGGCAGATAGGGGAGATTCCCTCGGGAATTTTTGGGAACGAAACTCATTGCATGCATGTGTGCGCGTTGAACTTCTTTCGCACCGTACATAGCCATCTGTGCTCCGCACGGTGTGGCTACCACAGCAGTGTTATGTAGTTACAGGAATAATCATGTAGCAGTGGATGGAGAGTGAACCACTGTGAACGTAAGATTGCAGTGATAAGCTTTTTGCAGGCATGCGGTTTTAACTGTGCTTTGTTTTTATTATGGTTGTTGTTTCCTGGTCCAGTAACTCCTTTTCAGGAGGGCTTGCACACTGCATGGGACGTTTGACTCGTTCTGTTGTCCTCAGTGTTTGGCTTCCCGTGGAAGGAAACTGATTAGACAGAGAACACTGCACGAGGCATACGAGGGGATAACACTCAAAGGTCGGGGCAGACAGGGCAGGAACCCACTTGCTGTACTGCTACTTCGAGGCCACCTTGCAGCCCGGCACATTTTTGAAGTTCACAAATCTACCAAAACTGTTTGCTTCAAAGCACCGGAATATGGGATACGTATTGTTTAGTGATTTAATTGAGGTCTGCCAATTGGCTTTGGAGATCAGAGGTCTGGGTTGGCACCACTGAGGTCCTGGGTTCGAATCCAGGCAGCTGACCATGATTAAACCTGGATCCCAAGTGTAGCGAGGTGATGGTGGTCTCAGCCCGGTCACCAATGATATTGCACAATCACTTTTTAGCTAAATAACACGCTCTGGGAAGTCAGTTGGACTGCGATGCAATGACTATTATGTACATTACTCTCAGTGACAGAGTGCGTCGTTGACCAGAGCTCACATGGAGGGATCTCTGATGTAGTTCTGTCACATCCACTTCAGCGGGCCTTCCACCAGCACGAAGGCTTTTTCCTCTGCCCTGCGAGAGATCCGAACGGTCGATTTAATCTCATGGCACGGGGGCGCCGATAGCGCAATCGGAATGAAATTAGGGAAGGGAAAAAAAACACAAGTAAAAGACTAAAAAAAGTATTCCGTGCAACCAAGTGGGCCCAACGATTTGCGCTTCAAGAAAAAAAATTTGCGTACGGCACAGTGCGTTGTATGTTGGTGTGCACGGGGGGGTGTGGGGTTGCAAGGTGCAGCCGTAATTGCATTGTAAAACAAACAGTTACAAAAGTTAGGTGCAGTTTTTTTCTGGGTGCGGACGCACGACTTGCATGAGTTTCCACTTGGGACAAGAATGGGCGTTATTTGCTTTTTTGGGAGTTTTTTTTCTTTCTCTCTTCCCCTGCGTTTTTTTTTTAGTTCCGACTGTGGCAACAGCCTTCCTGCTCTCTCTGGTCTGGCCATGTGGAGTAAAAGCAGCCGACGCGGAATATCGAAATATTGCATGCCCCATGTGACGTCGCATTCCATTTGATCAGAATGAGAATATTTGTTTCACTATTTTTTTGTTTTACTAGGTAAGGCCCACTGAGCGATGTAGTTCTTTTTCAGAAGCGACCTGGCCATCACAAATGATCGCTCAAAAAAGTGGATTATCATCATATGGAAGTTTTTCGCAGCCAAATACTCTAAGCGCATGTTGATTCTACATAGGGAGGGGAAAACCGGAGGAACCGGAGAAAAATCCACGTGATCACTGGAAGAGAGAGACCTGCAAACTCCAAATATACAACAGGCGTTCGGGTCGGGACTGAACCCATGACCTCCTGTATAACAGGCGAGGTAGTTAACATCTCGCCACTGCAGCGAGATGTTAACCATCATGTGACTTGGGCAGAACCCGTCACTATTTGGGATGGCCGATGCTGGTTGGATAACCTTTAAAGCAAAACCTCTTTTAATATGAAACTTAAACAATCATTTCTACTTTGCATAAAAACCATACACGTTTGTATTTGAAGCGTTGTCTCTGTGTTACGTGTACGCACTGAAACATTTACAATCTGAGTATGACGGTTTGCCAGTAAATTTTGTGGCTTTGCTCTCCAACACACCGGTGTGCTGTACTCGTAACACATTGGCATGTTCTGTTTACGTAGCAAACATTACTAATTGGCTGTGTCGGGTGGTGGCAGGTTTAAAGACACATTAATATATTTACGTGATCTAACCCCAAAAAAACCTGTATTATGGATGATATTGGTCGCGAAAGCCTAGGTGTTAAACTAGAACATGTGTTTAAATCCAATTTATTATGTCATTTTAATCCTAATGTTACGTAGTTGTTGCTGCTGCTTACACTTAGGTTGTTTTGCTTTGACAGCAAATGGACCAAGTCACCTGCAATTGCGCTTGATGTCATCCGATCGCGCAAGCTGAGCAGGCCTGAGCCTGGATAGCAAACCACCGTTTAAAATGCAGTCATTGTACACAGACTTCGGGACTACATCGTCAGCAGAGGGCAGTGTGAAAAATATCTCCTGTTGTGCTGTATATCTATGCTCCCTGCCTTCACCAAGCCAGACCTGTGCTATGGTCCAATAACCCCGATGACCTACGCAGCGTGGGGAGGCCCTCATCTGGCCCCGGATGAGCATTTACGCGATGTCATATATTTTATGCATCCCGTTTCCAAATGTTGAACTCCGCATTTCAATTTGCTGTACTCCAGAAGCTGCTGCTCTTTTGGGACCGCTGGCCCCTTTACGACGTTTAAGCTCTTCGCTAGCCAATTTCGTTTTTGCACGCTGGAACCTGGTGGGTTTTTTTTATGTTTCCCGGTGCAGTGTATTTATATTCTTTATTCACCCGCGTATCCGTTTGCGGCTTACAATGCTATCACATTTATTTTTACATTCCAAAAATATAACAAAAAATCAATAGAAAAGAAATCAAAAAAAAACCCACACAAGTCAAAGAAACTCACAAATCAATTTTGGAACTTGCAATCCAACTTTACAGCAGTTGCTGTACAGAAAAAAAATCGCTCAAATCAAAGAAACTCTCACATCAATTCTGGAACTTGTAATCCAACTATACAGGGCCTCCTCTACTTACGAACGAGTTAGGTTCCTGAGGTCTGTTCGTAAGTCTATTTGTTCGCAACTGAACTCCTGTCGATTCCAAACATGTTTATACGGCATGTAGACTAAACACGGGGAATGGCTTGAAAAGTCGTATAATCTCCTGTAGATGTAGATGCCACTGGTTCTTCACGTTCTGCAGATGTAAATGCCACTGCCGCCGTCCATTGTGCGGTGGTTGAACTTACGAATCTCGGTCCGAACAGGCAACTGGACATACGTACCGGGTTTGTTCGTATCTTTTAAAGTTTGTAAGTCGAATGTTCGTATGTAGAGGAGTCCATTTACAGCAGTTGCTGTAAATGGCGTGTGACGTTTCTGTGCAGCTAACACCACGTGGCGTGAAGAATAAGAGCCATTTCCCGAGACGTTGCATGTCATGTTTTCCTTTTAAAGCCTCATGGTGCTCTCGACGGGGAACGCGCTGAGCTTAATTGTTAATTGCACTTGTGCATCACTGCCAACGGAGCAGCAGCATCACCAGATGATTTTACAACTCGGTGCTACTTTGTCACGCTCTTCAAGTTTACGGCCGTCTGGCGTGCAATGTTTGTCAACGTGATTCCAATTTCCTGAACATTTTTTTGCGGTTTTCCCTAAAACCCCACGACCTCTCGTGACCTGCGTGTGTGTGAAACTTAATTGCCAATTGTTGCTCAAGTCGTCCTCGCGTCCGATTTAGCACGATTGGCGACCTATGGTAGGAAGGAAGTGCAACATACACATGCATACCGGTGAGTGCAGCCATGATGCTCACTGATTGCGACTTCGAACCTACCAACCACTTGCTGTAGACCAGGCAACTTTGGCAGTCAGGCAGGAAGGCAGGCAGGCAGGCAGGCATGACAACACCAGCAGCAGAATGCATAGCAGCGGCAGTAGACCGTACAACAGCAACAGCAGTCTGGTTCATGAAGCTATATTTGGCACTAGATTTGCCGGATAAACTTCAGGCTTTTTTAGGCCTAGTGAGGCTTGGTGATGATGGAGAGGTTGTGTGTGGGGAGCGGTAGTGTAGCATTTAGCGTGCTGCGCTACAAACCTGGCGACCCGGGTCCAATTCCCGCTCACGGCCAACACGAGTGATGATTATCTGTAACCAGTCCGGGGCCTCTCCTCAGTCGACTCAGCCTAAAATGTAGTTGCTGGTACGGTGTGGAAACATTGCCATGAGGGAGATAAAGGTGGCTGGGTGTGGTGCTGGCCACCCACCTCGTGTGCCATGCTGGCCTTCATAGGTGCTCGCTAACAGCACTTGCTCCTACAGTCTGTTCAGGCTATATGGGGGATCTTTGTCTTTTGTGTCCCAGCATGTGATGAAATCAGGTCGATCTTTGTGGTTGTGTTACATTTCCCCACCTCAATGAAATGGAAAAGTTTAAATATAATTCCCGGAAAATTGCCAAAAGGTCGTCCGTGAGAGCGCTGCCCCGACACATGATATCGCGTCCGTATCTACCAGCGATGGTGATTTCAACGCGCGTGCTTCTGTTTCTCCCTGTAGGCCTGCCTTCAGCTGCAACGCCCGTGAGTGGATCCGACGCCGTCTCACCGTGGAGGTCACCTCTCTGGTGGGAAAATCGCTTGCAGCTAAAGGCCCGGGGGTGGTGGCGCGGCGTGGGGGGGGGGGGGGACCTCAAATAACCTGACAAGTTCACGTTCGACGACATCGATCGCCCTCTTCGATCGTTTGCCAGAAGAGTGAAAAAAAATATCATTCACCCGGGGAGGGGGGGGGGGGCTACTCCCGAAGCCGTCCACTTGACTTGGTCACCAACCCCGGAGTGAACATTTACACCGTTGCTGATCAATTCGCCACCGTCCAAAAGAAGAAAAAGGCCGCAGGATTTTCCTCGCAAGTGGAAATTGCTGAGCGCGAATTATGCCCCGCACGTTTCGCCTTGCGGGGGTTTATCTCGCATTGAAGTGAACCGAAATCTCCTCGTGTGAGATTTTATCAAATAAATCACTTGACTTCTTTACCCCTTTAGAGCTCCTCCCGTGGAGGCTCAGTCCTCCATCAGAGTGTGGTGGGCACAAGCAGTTGCAGGGCTGCACCTCTACCCCCCACCACCTTCGAATAGTTTTCAACTTTGTCGATGACTATCGTCAGTAGTACCACACAGAACTGAGGATGGTCGTTTGAGGATCGGCTAACACGGCACTCGATGTTGCTGGGCAGGGCTTGATTGATACAAGATAGCCACAGATAAAATTGGGCCCCGTCAGATATTTATAGACGGAGAAGTGGCGGCGGGCCATCGGTGGAGGGGATATTAATACTCCCAAGACACAAGCCCCATTCAATTCACTTTTATCTTTGCATTTCGGCTAAGAAGTTATCTCCTCTTCAGAGACAGAGATATGAATTTTTAAATATATATTGGAATTTTAGCCACGCAGCCGTCAAGCGTTTTATGATTAACATCTGCTCGCGTGAAAACCGCTTTTAAATCAATTCGAAACCTGCCTAATTAGCCACCTCCAGGGTGCACAGGGTGGGTGGGGGGGACTCCCCAGCGGTACGTAGTGCCCGCGACCCGCAAATCCTTCCGCCATGAACGTGACGGCGGCAATGGCCGACAATTTCAACTCGACCGCGGGCCCTACGGTGAGCGCCAACGGGAGCGAGGAGCATCGCTGCCAGCTGAACAAGGCCTTCCAGCACATACTGCTGCCCACCTTCTACAGCATCGCCTTCGTGCTCGGTCTCATCGGTAACGGCCTCGCCCTCTGGATGTTCAGCTCGGCGCGCATGCGCCCATGGACGAGCATCACGGTCTACATGTTCAACCTGGCGCTCGCCGACCTCCTCTACATCTTCACGCTGCCCTTCCTCATCTTCTACTACCTCAACCGCACCGACTGGATCTTCGGCGAGGCGTGGTGCAAGGCGGAGCGCTTCATCTTCCACGTGAACCTCTATGGGAGCATCCTCTTCCTCACTTGCATTTCGGCACACCGCTACGCCGGCGTGGTACACACCATGCGCTCGCTTGGGCGCCTCAAGCGCCGGCACGCACGCCTCATGAGTGCCGTCGTGTGGGCCGTGGTGGTCGCTGAGGTCTTCCCCAGCCTCATCTTCGCCAAGACTGGTAAGAACCACTCTGGTGGCAAGACCTGCTACGACACGGCGCCGGACGACGAGCTGGAGCGCTACCTGACCTACAACCTGGCCGTGACGGTGCTCGGCTTCCTGGTGCCCTTCGTCGTCATCCTCGTGTGCTACGGCTTCATCGCGTGCAAGCTCGTGCAGCACCAGCTGTCCAATGCCACGCTGCGGCAGCGCTCGCTGCGCCTCGTCGTCATCGTCATGATCTCCTTCTCTGTATGCTTCCTGCCATACCACGTGATGCGCAACGTCAACATCCTGGCCCGCCTCTACCTGGGGCCCAGCGAGTGCGAGCTGTCGGCCCGCATCTATGCCGTCTACCAGGTGACGCGTGGGCTCGCCAGCATCAACAGCTGCATCGACCCGGTGCTCTACTTCCTCGCGGGTGACACCTTCCGCCGGCGTGTCAGCACCACCAAGCGGCGGCGGCAGCAGCAGCAGCAGCAGCACCACGCGCTCACGGCCAAGCGGCTGCCTGTGCTGGAGCGAGCCGCGCAGGAGGAGGAGGACAGCGTGCCCCGGTCCTTCGACACCGTCACCGAGCACGCAGAGGACAAGAGCAAAGTTTTGTACATCAAGGCCGAGCAGTGAAGCCGGCACGTGATGAGAAGAAAGAGCGGGAGGAGGTGGTGCGATGAGGAGGAGCAGACGCAATGAGGTGGAGGAGGAGGTGTGGAATGACCCCGGTGCCTTGTCGTTCGATGAACCACTTTCAACCCTTGGCCCCACCTGTCTCACCCACTCCCGCTCCCCATCCCTGCGGCCGTCGCAGAACCTTGGTGCAGCCGTCGCAATTCTGCGACCCCGGCACCCGTTATCACGAGTGTCGAGTCGACCGCGCCAACTGAACTCTCGCGATGGTCTGGTGGATGCCCCCCCCCCCCATCCCCGGCTCCACAGCGCGGTCGCTGCATCTGCTGGAGTCCCGTGCACTTTGTCGTCGATAAACAAATTGCTCTGTTGACGTGTAGGTTAACCGGTACCACCCCAGGTGGGTCAGATGGCGTGTGTATCCATCACCAGCGGAACATGACAGAATCCGAATGTTTATTTATACTGGAGGAATATGATGAGCTACAAAGCTATTTTTCACATATGTTCAGTAGTGGCGGCGGGGGGGGGGGGGGTCAAAAGGTTACAACGACAATGTGCATGACCCTCAGACGTGCGCCCTTTAAGTTACGCGGAGATGTATAAATATTTTAAAACGTGGGGTTTTACGGAGGCTGTACAATTGTGGTAAGTGATCTCAAGCGGAACGCATCCACTGATCGGTACCCTGGCCCTGCCTGTGACGCAGAGGCCGCCGGCTCGATCCGATGTCCCTGCGGCCCCCCTCTGCCCACCCAGCAGTGGTAGCGCGTACGTGACCCCCGCAGGTGCGGTCAACCGTTGGGTGCTCTTAGCAGCTCTTTCAAGGCGTCTGGCCGGCGTGGAAGGGTAGAGGCCCAGGAATGTCTGTCAAGAGGTTGGCTCTCTAGAACTCTCCTCGAGATGGGGCGGCAGTGGGGGGGGGGAGGCCCTTACCTGGCCAGCAGTGGCGCGAGGAACTGAGGCACTCGCAGGGCTTGCGCCCTCTTTTACGACGCTTCTGGTTCTTTACGCCGCGCCATTGAGATGCGCACTTCTGGGGGGGGGGGGGGGGGGGGGTTAATGGTCGATCCGCACGGCTTTTGGCGATGGAAGCTGGGGAGGAAATACGTGCCTAGAAATCGAACAAAAACCATTCATTCGAAATGTGAACAAGCTGCCCCCCCCCCCTAATGACCATCCTCCCCCCACCCCCTTCGATGTTCTCAAGCCGTTGTTAAACCGCGACTATTACCTGGATGTAGCCTAAACTGTAGCCACCCGGGCCATCACTTTATGTACATTCAAAACTAAAGACTTGCATTTACTTATCGTCATTTGTTGACATTAACTTATTGGTCTTCTTATTTTACCGTGGGACCGCGTGTGTGCGTGCGGCACATAGTGTGCAATGTGGTGGTAATTTTTATTTTTTTAAATCCTAACAGCGAATAGAATGTGTGTGTGCGCCTAAATCGTGAGCGGTGGCGGCGAGACTGATATTTAATACGAGGTATTGCAAATTAAAACCCAACGGTCCGGCAAATCTCAACGGGACGGCGAGCACTTGTACTCGGGTCCGAGCAAAGGCACCGTGTCGGCGTTTTGAACTGTGCGGATGCTCCGATGGAAAAACTGGCAGAGATTTGAGTGGAGTTGTGAGGGGTTTGGACGTCCGCGGCCAGAGAATGAAATAAATGTCGTAGGTATTTTTACACGACTCGGTGGTTTGTGTGGCTCATTTGCATCGGCCAATGTCCAACGTTTCGCGCGAAAACTAAACGAGCATTCGCTACCATAGAGGATCTACAACAGCAATGTTGTTGTTTGTAGACTCACCCCTTACCTCTCTCTCATCTCGCTCTCCTCCCTTCCATGCACTCCCCTACCTCTCCCCTCTGACTTTACTCCCCTCCACGCACTCTCTGACCTCTCCCTTATCTCCCTCTCTCTAATTCCCTCCACATGCTCTTCCTTCTCATCTCACTCTACTCCCCTCCACACACTCTCCTACCTATCGCCTCACTCCAATCCCTTCAACACTCATTCACTCTTTATCTCGTCGTTGAGTGGAAATCCATTCCACAGCCGTCCGTCCTGTCGGATTCTTGCCCACAGCACCCTGTCCCAGTCGAGGTCCAAGACCTTTCTCCCCCTCTTGTCCGACTGCCTCCCGGTGTCTCGAGACGAGATGGAAATATGCCCGCCGTTCCTGTGCGGCATCTCGGACTTCGGTCGCATTTAGACACTGTGTAATACAGTAAGGAACAATATGTTCCACACTGCCCACCAGGGATTTTTTGTCTGTCTGTCTGTCGTGCATAAATATAATATAAACAGCTATTTGATTGGTGGAGACCGACTGCCGGGTACGGAGAGGGGAGGTGCCTAAGGAAGGAGGGTCAGGGGAGGGGCCTAAGGATATGGGGGGGGGGGGGGTCAGGGGAGGGGCCTAAGGATATGGGGGGGTGGTCAGGGGAGGGGCCTAAGGATATGGGGGGGTGGTCAGGGGAGGGGCCTGAGGGAGGGGGATAAGGGGAGGGGCCTAAGCAAGGCGGGGAGGGCGATAGTGAAGGGGGCTGGCTACCTGGCTGGCTGCCTGGCTGCCTGGCTACCTCAAGTCAAGTTATCTTTTATACAGGTAGGAACAACAGGTTCCACACTGCCCACCAGGGATTATTTGTCTGTTTGTCGTGCATATTTGTCTGTCGTGCACGAATGCGCTGTCCAACCAAGTTCCTACCAGCCCACTCCGAAGGAACGTGTTCTATTATCAAATCCCGGCGTTCCATGTGGCCCTTTGTCCGTTTGTCTGTCAACTGAATCAAAACGTTATAGAAAGTGGACCTCCCCCCCCCCCCACCCCAGATGTGGGGGTATAAAAAATTGATCCAACAGTTTCACAACAATTGTCAAACCCCCCCTGGAAACAAAAATTTATCCCTCCACTGCCTCCCTCAAAAAGATAAATGTATTTTTTAGGCATACATGCCTACACACCCTACATATACTAGTCAGTAGTATCTACTACACAGCCTACACACAATAGAGTCAGTAGTATCTACTACACACCCTACACACAATAGTCAGTAGTTTCTACTACACACCCTACATACATACAGTAGAGTCAGTAGTTTCTACTACACACCCTACATACAATAGAGTCAGTAGTATCTACTACACACCCTACATACAATAGTCAGTAGTATCTACTACACACCCTACACACAATAGAGTCAGTAGTATCTACTACACACCCTACACACAATAGTCAGTAGTTTCTACTATACACCCTACATACATACAGTAGAGTCAGTAGTATATACTACACACCCTACATACAATAGTCAGTAGTTTCTACTACACACCCTACACACAATAGAGTCGGTAGTATCTACTACACACCCTACATACAATAGTAGTAGTTTCTACTACACACCCTACACACAAGAGAGTTAGTAGTATCTACTACACAGCCTACATACAATAGAGTCAGTAGTATCTACTACACACCCTACATACAATAGTCAGTAGTATCTACTACACACCCTACATACAATAGAGTCAGTAGTATCTACTACACACCCTACATACAATAGTCAGTAGTATCTACTACACACCCTACACACAATAGAGTCAGTAGTATCGACTACACACCCTACACACAATAGTCAGTAGTTTCTACTATACACCCTACATACATACAGTAGAGTCAGTAGTATATACTACACACCCTACATACAATAGTCAGTAGTTTCTACTACACACCCTACACACAATAGAGTCGGTAGTATCTAGTACACACCCTACATACATACAGTAGAGTCGGTAGTATCTACTACACACCCTACATACAATAGTCAGTAGTATCTACTACACACCCTACATACAATAGTCATTAGTATCTACTACACACCCTACATAGAATAGAGTCAGTAGTTTCTACTACACACCCTACACACAAGAGAGTTAGTAGTATCTACTACACAGCCTACATACAATAGTCAGTAGTATCTACTACACAGCCTACATACAATAGAGTCAGTAGTATCTACTACACACCCTACATACAATAGAGTCAGTAGTTTCTACTACACACCCTACACACAAGAGAGTTAGTAGTATCTACTACACAGCCTACATACAATAGAGTCAGTAGTATCTACTACACACCCTACATACAATAGTCAGTAGTATCTACTACACACCCTACATACAATAGTCAGTAGTATCTACTACACACCCTACATACAATAGAGTCAGTAGTTTCTACTACACACCCTACACACAAGAGAGTTAGTAGTATCTACTACACAGCCTACATACAATAGAGTCAGTAGTATCTACTACACAGCCGACATACAATAGAGTCAGTAGTATCTACTACACACCCTACATACAATAGAGTCAGTAGTTTCTACTACACACCCTACACACAATAGTCAGTAGTATCTACTACACACCCTACACACAAGAGAGTTAGTAGTATCTACTACACAGCCTACACACAATAAGTCAGTATCTACTACACCACCTACACACAATAGAGTCAGTAGTACCTACTACACACCATAGAGTCAGTAGTATCTACTACACATCCTACATACAGTAGAGTCAGTAATATCTACTACACATCCTACATACTATAGAGTCAGTAGTATCTACTACACACCCTACACACAATAGAGTCAGTAGTATCTACTACATACAATAGAATCAGTGGTATCTACTACACGAACCGAGTGACAGAGACGGCCGTCCCTCGGGTTACGGTGAATCAGGGCGACCGTCCCGGGCCCCGCGCTTTGAGGGCGGGGGAGGGCAGCCCGCGCTTCGACGTCACAGTGTCGGATGTGATACCGGGGTGCGGTGGGGGGGGGGCACGGTGGAGTTTGCCCCGTGTCGATCCCTCCCCCACCTATGGGCGGCCCTGGACTGAGCCGTATGCTCGCTTGAGATATGCACCGAGTATTCTAGAATTGAGTGTGTGCGTACAGGACAGTATAGAGACAAATATAAAGACCCTCCTCCCCGTATAGCCTTAACAGACTTGTGGGGCAAGTGCTGTTAATGAGCAGCGCCTACGAAGGCCGGCACGGCGCACGAGGGGGTGGCTGGCCAACACCACGCCCGGCCGCCTTTGTCTCCCCAGTGGGGGGAGGCTCAGGACCGGTTCCGCTAATCGTCACTGGTGTTGCTTGCCATGAGCGAGAATCGAATTCTGGTTGGCCAGGTTGGTAGTACAGTATATAGACACACACACACAGGAATGCTATCATTCATCTGCAGCATACCCTCGCGGAAAAGAAAAACACACAGACGAAACTTTTTTTTGTACAAACGTCACACAACACCGAGCGCGTCATGCCGGCTATTTGTATCGCGCGCGCAATCGATTGGCATCGCTTGGCACGTGGCCTCGGCTAACGGCGTTGCGTTCTCGCGCGGAGACTTTTGACTTTTTAAACAACTTTTATTGCCGCCAGCAGCAAAAGCACTGGAGGCGATTTCGATATGAAATACACACACCCCAGCAAACAAATGAAAATAAACGCTACAAATCGACGCGCTGTGATGCTAAAAGCACCGCGCACAACACAAAAGAAAAGTCACGTGGTTGTGGTGGTCATCGCGCACGCCACGGTGGCGAGCGAGCGAGAGAGAGCGGAAAGCGTGGAACTTTTGACCCGGAAACCCAAAATCGACCCCCACAGTCCCGCAACAGAAAACCGTTGGCTACGTGCGGTGCGAAAGAAGTTCAACACAGGAGTACACGTGTTGATGTTAGCCATGGCCCGGGAATTGAAATGGTGTTGCCAACTTCGTTGCGCTCCACCGCCATAAAAAGAAGGATATTCAGGGTGACGAATAAACCAAAGGGACAAGCAAATGCTCAACTCGATGTGGAAGTGAGCGGGTAAAATCAATACATTGAGAGTGCGCCCGAGATAAATAATTAATTTGTGTTGGTTATTGTTGCACAGAGCTTTTGGTTGAGCTTGCGCCCATATCTCGAGCCGGCTCCAATATCTCGAGCTAGCACCAATATCTCAAGTTAGCTCCAATATCTCTAGTTAGCTCCAATATCTCGAGTTATCTCCAATATCTCGAGTTAGCTCCAATATCTCGAGTTAGCTCTAATATCTCGAGTTAGCTCCAATATCTCGAGTTAGCTCCAATATCTCGAGTTAGCTCCAATATCTCGAGCTAGCTCCAATATCTCTAGTTAGCTCCAATATCTCGAGCTATCACCAATATCTCGAGTTAGCTCCAATATCTCGAGCTAGCTCCAATATCTCGAGTTAGCTCCAATATCTCGAGCTAGCTCCAATATCTCGAGCTAGCTCCAATATCTCGAGTTAGCTCCAATATCTCGAGTTAGCTCCAATATCTCGAGCTAGCTCCAATATCTCGTGCTAGCTCCAATATCTCGAGCTGGCACCAATATCTAAACGAGAGGGGGGTGGGGGGGGACCTTGCCAAGAAACATCTGGGAGTTTGCCAGTATTGGTTCAAGCAAGCCTGGCTCTGCTGCTAATGAGACACTGGATGTCGAAACCGGATATTTTCTTTGGTCACCAAAGTGCACTGCCACGGAGGCAATTGTACCGCGATTCTGTACTTCCACGTCGATACTCACTGCCGTCAGCAACTCCGCACTGACCGGCGTGGCAGGTGCAGTTGGTGTCACAGTGGTTCGTGGCACGATGCCATGAGCCG